AGGTAAATAGTATTTGACTAGGAAAAATAAATGATTTAATATAAATATGAACTTTAGTTTTGATATAAACCGTTATATACAGACAGGAAGCATAATGGAAAATAATTATCCAACGCAATATGGTTTGAGTTGTGCCTATAGTGAAAAAGATAACCATATAGAAGGTAGGCAACATAAAATTAAACAAAAGTATACAGTGCCTTTTCACAAATATAGTACTCAGGATGAATTAAATAGAACAAAAATCAAATCTGCATTAAATAACATAGATAATGTTCAAACTGTAATTGCTACATCTAAGAAATACGAAGAAACTCTTCAAACATCTGGAGGTGAGACATTCTCTGTAAGTCATGAAACATGTAACATAAAAGCTGAAGCTGCATCTCCTTATCGTCATCCTATTTTTTCAAAACAAACCAGGTAACAGATTTTATATTTATCTATTTATAAAAACTATATTAAATGAAATATAATTCTATATTAATATAAATATATTTTTAATGTTAGATATTAATAAGGCTTGTAAAAGTTGCATAAATGATCAAAAAATTTGCTACACTTTTTAGTAGAATATGTTTTATCAAATATGACTTTTACCTGACGTCGAACCTTCTATTTATTGTTTCAACTACTGATAAGATTACATTATGTAAAAAGGCATGGGTGTAAACGTATATATGTATTACAATTAACTACTTATAGGTGTACTTCATTGTCAAAGAGCGTTAGTCATCACGCGATTAGCAACAAAACCAATGAATGTGAGTCGAATAGTGCAATAATACCAAAGCATGGTGTACATCTTCCAGAACTATGTCGTAGCGCAACGCAAGCAATACCGACAATAGATACTAATGATGGCCCAAGTATGAGTATTGCAGAACGACTAGCTGCGCTACAACGTAGCGGAAATACAAACTGGAAACGACGTATAGCTTCTGAATCATCTAATTCAGTGGTAAATGACATTAAATTAATTTTATTGCAAAATCAGAGCATGTTGCATTATTTACTATTAGTAATTAAAATTGATATTAGGATGGAGTATGTTCCAATTCATTGAATAAGGAAGAACTGAGTATCAAACAAGGAGTACTTGCGGATTGTCTTGGAAAGTTAGAATCTGCAACAGAAGGTTGGAAGAAAAGAATAGCAGCTCCAGATGTAACAAAGTTTACAGTAGCTGGTAAAATGAAGGTAGAACAATTGGAAAACGTAGATCCAGGATCATCATCTCCGCTTATTGAAGCTACAGGAAATATTATAGATAGAAAGAAAAAAACCCCTCGTCCTGAACGATTTAGAGCAAAGAAAGGTAATATTATTTAAGATATTTTCAACGCTTTTAAACATAAATCTCTAAGTAGAGTATTAAGGACGTCATCATTTATTTTCAGGATATATGAAAGATGCTGTATCTACTCCAACTAGTCCAAATAAAGATTCATGTATTAAATTACGAGGAAGCTTCTCTGAACCTGCAAGCGATGACAGTGGTTAGTAAATAGTTATTTTAGGAGTTATATCAGAGTATTTTTCTTTCACCATTAGCATTACTTGAAAATGTATGTCATAGCTGAAGAAGTGAAAACGGCGAAGAACGTATCACCTGTTGTCTCAGTACCTAAGATAGACGACGAGACATTCACCTCCTTCTTTACTGGAATTTCATTAGAGAAATGCGAGGCTGAATCTGTTGATTTAAATGAAAGCGATTTCGATATGATTACATCGCAATCTGAATTGTAAGCCTTTTATTTTTTACTAATATTGTTAATCATACAGTAAGTTTTAGGTTCTCATATATTTATATTATTATAGATTAGTTCAAAAGCGAAATATACGATTGAAACGACGACGGTTTGTGTCTAGAAATCCACTTAAAACGCTTGCAGCTCGTACTGACTTAAAATCAGAGTATACTGAGATACGAACTGGTATTGCGGAAAAAGTAATGAAACAATTAAATGTTGAAAAATGTAAGTCTTTATCGAATATTAAATACTTGATATGTGCCACTATAATATTTATGTTATTATACCATGTTACAGTAGCGAAAAATTCATCATTAGCTATGGAAGCTTTAGCTGGCCTAGCTTCTACTGAAGACTTTAGTAATATAACACTAAGGAACGTAACAGATACAAATATTTCTTCGAATAGATTACAGCCATACAAAGACTTGATGTTAATTTTAATTAAAGGCCGGAGACATGTACAAGTGAGATTAGTCGAGCCAGTTGCAGAAAGCATAAATAGTGGCGATAATTTTGTTCTAGTAACAAAATCAGAGGTTTATAATTACATTGGGAAATATTGTAATGTTATCGAAAAAGCACGAGGTGCAGAAATTGCATTGAGTATTCAGCAAAATAAGGATCTTGGTTGCCAAACGTTTCAAGTTATTACTATTAATGAAGATAAATTAACTTGCACAAAAAGTCAACTACAAAAATTCTGGAGCTATCTTGGTGCAGAAAATGAGAACGTAGATGGTAAGCTAGTAGTCTGTCATATATGATGTAACAATATCTTGTAAAACATTAATAGCATTGTATAAATAATAGTCATTGAGGGTGGACATCCTGATGAAGATGAGCTTTACGAAACATTCATGATAGATACAAATATGGTATACGAAATTAAAGATGAAGAACTGGTGCCACTTGAAAAATATTGGGGTACTATACCAAAAATTGAAATGCTCGACCCAAATAAGGTAGATATTTTAACATGATATGTGGGATGTTTCCGAAATCATAGTATAGCTAAAAAACACGTAATCAGAGCTTCATATGAAAAACTTTTATTCTATATTTTTGTCTTACTTTTACACGAGAAAGCATCTCCTTTCCGATTAAATCACAGTTTTGGAACCATCTTATATATTTTCTACAGTTAATTTAATTATTTATAGTTATATTTTTTTTCTTTTATAAGGTGCTAGTATTTGATTTTGGTAACGAAATGTATATATGGAGTGGTAAAGGAGCTTCAACTGGTAAAAAGAAACTTGCTACACATCTTGCTACAGAAATGTGGCAAGAAGGATATGATTATTCGGAATGCACTGTGTGTCCAATTAGTGCGGCATCTATGATTGGTAGACGCACCGTGTCAAAAATAGACTTAAAATCTGCTAAAGTCAGACCTAAATGGTGTTTACTTGCCAAATTGACACAACATGTTGAAACAATACTTTTCAGGGAAAAATTCCTTGACTGGCCAAATGTTTCTCGTATAATACGAATTCGAGGTACTAAGAGTAAAGAGAACGTTGATGGAACTGTAACTATAGAAGTGTGTAATATTAATAATTTATTAGAAGAAAATATCATTCCAGTTGATTTGGTTCTTGAAGGAACTCATTTAGGTAGAGGCACTGGTTGGTATGACGATGAGGTAATAAAAATTATTACTTAATAATATACATTAAACAATGATTATATGGTATATATACCATTCTTCAATAATTAACTACATAATTCTTCAGCAAATGAAGCAATTCATTGTTACGACAATGGGTATAAAAGTGTGGCATATTGATGAATTTTCACATAGTCTTCTGGATGATTCATCTGTTGGACAATTTCATTCTGCAGATAGTTATATTGTATATTGGATGTATTCTGTTACAGTTACTGGTAAATGTTATTACTATTTTTGACATAAATACATTTAAAAAATCGTTAATAATTACCTGAGGTGCTTGATCATTATCTAATTCTATAGTTAGTAACGCTGCAGCACCTTGTTCATTCAAAGATGCATTTTGCCCTTGCCAAATAAAATATACTGAGCGATCGCGTCCCTTTGCAGAATGTTTTGACGGTAAACCACTAAGCTCGCGACCTGGATAAAAAACAGTATAACGCATCTCATTAAACTTATAAAACTAAGACATAACATATTTATCAGTATTTATACAGGGTGGTTGGTAACTGGTGGTACAAGCGGAAAGGGGGTGATTCTATGCGAAAAAAGAAGTCGAAAATATAGAATAAAAATTTTTCGTTTGAGGCTTTGTTTTCGAGAAAATTGACTTTGAATTTTCGCTCGGTACGCGTGCACTTTATCAGTTCTCGTTATAACGGATCTCACTGTAGATCGTTGTCTCGATGGAAAAATTAAAAAAAAAACTAAGAAAGAAAAATTAAAAAAAATTTTTATTCTGTATTTTCGACTTCTTTTTTCGCATGGAATCACCCCTTTCCGCTTGTACCACCAGTTACCAACCACCCTGTATAAATACTGATAAATATGTTATGTCTTAGTTTTATAAGTTTAATGAGATGCGTTATACTGTTTTTTATCCAGGTCGCGAGCTTAGTGGTTTACCGTCAAAACATTCTGCAAAGGGACGCGATCGCTCAGTATATTTTATTTGGCAAGGGCAAAATGCATCTTTGAATGAACAAGGTGCTGCAGCGTTACTAACTATAGAATTAGATAATGATCAAGCACCTCAGGTAATTATTAACGAAGATTAGAAACATTACTCGAATTAATATTTTAAATTTATACGCACACCTTTATAGATTCGTGTAGTTCAAGGATATGAACCAGCTGCATTTCTCAATTTATTTTCTGGAGGTATGATTGTACATAGTGGCAAGAAAACGAATACAAAATGTGACGAACGATGGCGATTGTATATATGTCGTGGTACTTTAGAGTCAGAGGTGTCTTTAATAGAGATTCCTTGTAGTACTCGTCAATTACGTAGCAGAGGTTCTCTTATATTATTAGACACTAAAAATAACAAAATTTATGTATGGCATGGATCTAACTCTTTACCTCATATTAAACAGGTATTCTTATTAAATTTCGTATTACAATGAATTTTGAATAGTACGAAAATCAAAATATTAGATGGAATAATTTTTATATACAGGGTGGTTGGTAACTGGTGGTACAAGCGGAAAGGGGGTGATTCTATGCGAAAAAAGAAGTCGAAAATATAGAATAAAAATTTTTCGTTTGAGGCTTTGTTTTTGAAAAAATCGACTTTGAATTTTCGCTCGGTATGCGTGCACTTTATCACGTCTCGTTATAACGGATCTCACTGCAGATCGTTGTCTCGATTGACGTTATGTTGATAAACACTTCCAATGTGACCAAAGTGTTTTCCTACTTATTAACTTACTATCCGACTTTTATCGCTATTCACTATCAGTACTTATTAGTCTACCATCATGTCTACATACAGCAATCGGGAATATACGGACATGATACTTTCGTTAGGTGCGTGTGGTGGTAACGCATCAGCCGCAGCTGATCATTACAGACACGGGTATCCCAATCGTCGACATCCTGACAGACGTGTTATTCAAAAAGCAGAACGAACCCTCGGCGAATATGGTTCTTTTGAAAAACTTAGACGACATGGTGATCGTCGACGACGCATGTGTAAATGTTGAAGAGCAAATACTAAAGGACGTTTTGGAACATCCTGACATAAGTGCAAGAAACCTTTCTTTGCGGTATAATATTAGTTGCTTCACGATTCTTCGAATTCTACACGAAAACAACTTACATGCTTGTCATATCACCAGAATACAAGAACTCATGCCTCATGATAAAATTTCGCGAAAGGCATTTTGTCATTGGTTGCTTCAACAGCATGCCAACGATGCAGAATTTCTGTTAAAAATGTTATGGACCGATGAAGCGAAATTTACAAGGGACGGCATGTTCAATGTTCATAACATGCATAATTGGCAAAATGAGAATGCTCACTCTATTCTTGAAACACATTTTCAAGTAAGATGGAACGTAAACGTCTGGGCTGGCATAATCGGACATCTAATTATTGGGCCATATTTTTTCGAAAGAAATGTAACGTCAGCAGCATATTTCGATTTCTTACAAAACAAACTACCGGAATTATTAGAAGATGTACCGCTGAGAACTAGAGGAAGTTTAATTCTTCAACAAGACGGTGCACCGTCACATTTTAGTCGTCATGTGAGAGATTTTTTAAACCAACATTACCAAGGCTGGATTGGTAGTGTTGGAACAATAGCTTGGCCACCACGCTCTCCTGACTTAACTTCGCTTGACTTTTATTTATGTAGCCATATTAAATCAATTGTCTATTCTGAAGAAATCGCAAGTTGCGAGCAATTGAAAGAAAAGATTATTGTAGCCTTTCATACTTTAAAACAATCGAATACGTTAAAAAGTTTTCATAGAAATTTAATTAGAAGAGCAGAAGTATGTGTTCGGCAGAATGGACAACATTTTCAGCAATTTTTGTAATAATAAACTTTATGATTACTTCATATTATTTCATTATATATTCTTAATTTTAGGTGATCCTACGCAAAAAAAGAAGTCGAAGATATAGAATAAAATTTTTTTTTTTTAATTTTTCCATCGAGACAACGATCTACAGTGAGATCCGTGATAACGTACCACACGCGTACCGAACGAAAATTCAAAGTCGATTTTTTCGAAAACAAAGCCTTGAACGAAAAATTTTTATTCTATATTTTCGACTTCTTTTTTCGCGTAGAATCACCCCCTTTCCGCTTGTACCACCAGTTACCAACTACTCTATATATATATATATATATATATATATATATATATATATATATATATATATATATATATATATATATATATATACACAATGTTAACTTATATCTAGCATGCAGTTAATGCAGCAGCAAAATTAAAAAAGAATCGTCCTCAAGAAACTGGTTTAACATCTGAAGGTGATATAGAAATTTTTGAAATTGATGAAGGAATGGAACCAGAAGAATTCATCAATGGTAGGTAAAAGTTTACGTTTAGTATTAACATATTGTCACATGGAAATAATGAATAAGATATATCTTATTGCACAGCACTGGGACAAATGAACAAAAAACTGTATGTATCATTAGAAAAGGATCAATTACAGGAACATACTCCAAGACTGTTTCATCTATCAAGCATTTCTAAAGAATTTAAATCTGTAGAAATGTTATGTCCTCATCGTGCTTCTTTACCAACTCCATTTCCTTTTCTACAGGAAGATTTGTACCAAGTTCATCAACCAGGTAATTTATAAAATTTTATGAAAGACTAATAATTTTATGAAGGAGTAATAATTTTATGAAGGACCAACGCATTATAAACTTATTAAATTATTATTATAGCCTTATTTTTATTGGACAACAAAAACGAGTTATGGATATGGCAAGGCTGGTGGCCTAATACCGGAGCAGAGGATCAGTCCGGTAGTAAAGCAGTTAGATGGCAAGCTGAAAGAAGAGCAGCAATGACAATGGCTATGCAGTATTGGCAAAGAATTCATCCAGAAACTAATAAATATCCGATTTATCTAGTCTGGGCTGGTCTTGAACCTTTGCAATTTATAAATCTATTTCCTACATGGACATATCGCGACGACATAGCGGAATTAAATATAGAGGTATTTTTACATTTTCTAACGTTATTAAAATTATATCTTTCAAACAAATAATTTGTTATTAGGATGGTCGAAATCCTGGAGAAGTATTAACTGTAGAGAGTGAGTTGATTCGATTAACGCAGAGTACGTATCCTCCGGCTCAATTACTACAACGACCACTACCAGAAGGAGTTGATCCTACACACCTGGAGCTGTATTTATCTCAACAACATTTTCAAGTATGTTTTGTAAATTATTAGTGATAAATGAATTCTAATAACAAGAGATACATATTTCATGTACTTTATCAGGAAATATTAGGTATGACTAAAGAAGAGTTTCAAGAACTACCAGTTTGGAGACAAGTGAACCTTAAAAAAGAAATAGGACTTTTTTGATGAAATGTCCAGACTGCCGATCCTACAAGAAATAGCTGCCCTTGTAAAGCGATTAATAAAGTTTTTGTTAATTGTTTTATGATGTTTATAACTTCAAATTTTTTAACTTCTCGATGTATGAATTCGCGTTTAAGATATGCCTAAAGTTGCCTATCGATAAAAGAGAAACTAATATTATAATGCAGTTAAAGATATTTACTACTATTTCAAATATAATATATACTACATACATACGCGCACGTGTGCGTGCACGAACACAAATAGGTGATTATATATTTTTAATACATACTAAACGTAAATTGGCTTGTGAATATTTCCTTTATATTTGTATGGGCTTTATATTCAATGATAATACAATGTTTTAGAATGGCTTATTCTTACATGTGTAACATTTGTACAAGAGCGACTGTATTCTTTACAACATACTTCATGTTTTTGAACAGTATTCAATGAAATTTCTCAATGTTGCCTTGAGTCTTATTTCATAGCCCCTTATGATCCCTAAAACATCGCATACGTTAAGTTCGAGAAAGGTTATACGTTCACTTTACTTGGAAAAGTTTTTTCCCGAACTTGTGTAGAATGTTACATCATCTTATTATATGTATGCATCAATTGAAAATAACTTTGTTTTATATTCTTTTCGTATTCATGATTTATGTGGTATCGAAGTAAGATACAGCATTTGTATTATAAAATAGTTCAATCTTTGTTTTTTGACATAAAACACTTTCGACATGAATGCATTGTTTAAATCAATATTATAAATACGTATATACTTATATATTATTTTTCAATATTTGATATTTGAAATATACATAAACAATAATATAAATAATCGAAACATATAATGATGCACATCACCAATTGAATAAAGATTATCTGAAAGCAATTTGATATATTTAAAATTATTTTAATCGTTACTGAATTATTCTTGTACTTTTTTCAGAGTGTAATTAGAAATATCTTCTTCTACATCTATGCTTGTTTTTATCCTTTTATAAACTGACCAAGGCACAACATTATATCAGTATAAAAGAATCACACATTACTTTTTAGTGTTTAATTTAAAATTACATTCTGTTCAAAATTTATTGTTGTGTGTGCAAAGAACACAAATTCACCCCAATGCTTACAATGGTTGTCTATTTTATTCTACAGTAATAATATGTTATGGAAAGTTTATACACACATATATAGAATAAGGTGTATAATATCGTTTTGGATAATGTAATTAATTATGCATTTGTATCATGAATAATTTTATGATCTTTTCATTTATTTTTTACTTTTCTTTTTACATGAAATATTAAAGTGTAAAATCGATTGTATTCTCTATATGTGTTTTCTGTTTTTTAGCAAATTATACATTTTTTAGGCAAAGCATAATTTAAAAATTATTCAAAACAATAATATTAGATACCTTATCTGTATTGTATGTGATTATGCGTGCATGTAAATCCATATTCTAAATCATCTAATATTAAAATAGTTCATCCAAATAATTGATTCTATATTTTATATCTTAATTTAAAATAACCGTGCGTTGATTGATGTAAAATGACACACCAGATCCATGACTTCTTTTCTCGCTTTTACGTTCCCCAAACTAATTATCTCGTTATTAATCTTCAAATCCAATTTATAATACTAGGTATGTTGGAATATGACGTTAGTACTTCCATTCAAAGTCATTGGGCATCTGTAGCACACAATTGAATTTTTTGAAGTCTTTTTAGAAGATATTTTAATTGAACTCATTGTCATTTTCATATTTTGAGTATCATTGATAATGCATTATAATTTTATATACAGTATTCAATAATAAATGATAAATGTGAGAACTAACTTTGAAACAATTCTTCTTTTGTAAGGAAATAATGTATTATACAACTTCATATACAAATTATATATAACAAATGACAAACATGTATTTACACTTTGCATATTGTTATATGTACTATAAAATTATTACCACCACATGTAATACTTCGCCAAAATAATTGTTTCATTTCTTGTACAATAATAGTCTCTTATTTCTTTCTTAGTATATAAGTTACAAGTAACTAAAAACAGATGTACAGATAAAACGGAGTATTACCATTTAAATATTTACTGCACTTTTCCATCAATGTAAGCCTTTATGGCAGTTTGACATTCTACAGAACACCAATGCTGTATCAGCAAATACGTTTCTGATTCTAATGCTGCATCCAATTTTTTTCGCAAACTATGACGTAACAATGTCTTCGTAGCTTCCATAGACTGAAAATGAATAAACAGAATATTAAATAACAGTTCTCAATGCATATGCAAACAAAGAAAATTCAGGATGTATAGAATAAATATTAATTAGTTTTATACACATCACTGATACGAGTGCAAGAGCACAGTGTTCCTATTTTCATTTTTAATACAACATTGATTCTATAAATCAATTTAGTTGTATGTATAAAAATGATTATTTTAATTAATTTCCTATTATTCACGATAACTAAATGTTTTAGTTCTTATGTTATAATTAGCAGTAAATTAAATAATACTACATTCAAGTACTGGGATGGTGTATGTATATCCAATTATTATGTAGATAGGATAGAAGATATTTATAAAATATTATATATAGGAAAAATATGTAATGTATATTATTACAGATTAATGGAGAGAGTGATTTGCATGAATGTGTAATAAATGCAGTATGTAGCGTAACTCATAACCGATTTTGGGTATCTAGTTTAACAGAAAGACTTTGTCGTTGTTCTAATGGAAAAGAATGTCCTTGGCAATGGACAAAAGAACTTGGAAATTCGTCTATTTCGCTTAACAACAAATCGCACATGAAGGTATGTACAAACATAAATTTCACATACATTTAAACCTATATTTAAAAATTATCTTTTTCTTTTTTATTTTTGCAGTTTTGTGCTCCAATAACAGAACTGAGCACATGTAAATATAATCAAGAAGGAATAGAAATTCATGGTAAAAGTGATAGAAATAATTCTTATCTAATACCATATAATGTAATTTTAAACTGTAATTGCCCAGGATTACATTACTGGAGACTTAAAAAATATACATATCTAGAAAATGATTTTATTATACAAACATTTAAATGTGTAAAGGTAGGTGTTTTCGAATATTTGTAAAATGTATATTTTAATATATTCTAATAAAAGCTTGTATACATTTTAATAAATCTTACTTTACTTTTTTTTTATATAGAGAAGAATGTGCAACACTTATGAATTTTGTGGACACATACGGTCTGATCTATACTCAACATACTATAGATGCACTTGTCCAGAAAATCATTTATGCATTTTCCAAGATAGAAACAAAGAGAATGTTCAAGAACTATTATATTCTGGTTCTGCTTATAAAGGTTACTGTCTACCATTTAACAATGCATAATGTTCACTTCACAAGTTATAATTTTAATTTAATGGACATAACATCTATGTATCTAAATAATAACAATATTATAAAAAAAAACTTATATAAAATACATACCTGTGAGGATTGCTCACTCATAGCTTTTAGGGTTGGTAGTAATTCAACCTGAAATCTATCGGGCCATAAAACTCGAGTAACAAGACCAGCCCTTAGTGCTTCACTAGCTGTTAGAGTTCTACCACCTAATAATAATTCACTTGTCTGCAATTTTAATTCAAATTTGATTTAATATTACTTTTACTACATGTAAGAACCTTGATTAATTATGAGAAAGATGTAATGCTTAATATACTTACAATTGCACTTCCTAATATATGTGATAAAGTAAATACAGCAGCACCTTCAGCAATTTGCCCTAATTTACCATAAGGTGTACTAAATGTGGCTTTGTCGCTAGCTATCACAAGATCAAATAAAGGCAACATTGTTACTCCAAGTCCAACTGCAGCTCCTTGAACTCCAGCAACAATAGGTTTGTTGAATGATGCTAAACTTTTAATGAAGTCCCTAAGTACAAAAAAAGTGAACTTTTTAATTAATTAAATATATGTAACATATGTATATGATACATATTTATACAAGGATAACTACATACTTAACCGCATCTGCCATTTCCTGGGCATGTATCCGCCGTTTTTCTTTATTTGTATGTAGCAACATAGATAATTCGAGACCTTCACAAAAACTGCTACCTGTTGATGTTAATAAAACAACTCTACAATCATCATCCTTTTTTAGAATTGATAATGTTTCACGAAATTCTTGCATCACCTAAAAGAATTAATATAATGTGATATATAAATAAAATTATGTATTTATAATATAAAAAAGAGTACTAAATATATAGTTTCCTCCATAATTTTATTACCTGGAGAGTGAGAGCATTTCTTATTTTTGTTGAAGATGATGGTGTAAGTATTAACTGCACAAGATTTCCATGTCGACGTATATTTATTTCCTTATTACTAAATTGACTTCGAATTTCCATTTTTGTTTTATTATTATCTGATTCTAGTGTTTTGGTTGTATTTGCATTGACTAAAAAATAATCTTATTCAGTACCTCATGTATTACATAAGAATGTAATTATTATCATAATTTAGTAAAGATATAAAAATTTATTATAAATACGAAATACTTTTACTTTTTTAAAAATGAGTTCACCTTTATTTTTGCGATTTGTTGCTGAATTTGCAGACCGACTCCCAGCATTGACTACTGATAGCGCATTTGCAGCTTCTGCAAGGCAGGCTGAAAGTTCATCTTCTTCTTTGGAAAATTCTTCATTGTTATCTGGTTCATTTGTTTTAGCAAATGTAACTTTGTTCTTTGTAGTTTTCTTTGTTTTTGATGTTACCTTACCTGTAGCTGTACCATTTGATCTTGTAATAACTTTCCCTAAACCATTATTAGTTTCGTCTGTTTCTGGTTGTTTGGGATTTTTATCAGCTTTTTTTGAATCCAACTTTTTATTAAGACGTTCAGGAAATACAATTTTATCCTCTACAATGTCAACAAAATCAATTCCTGTGTCACTTTTTTGTACAATCTTCTTTTTACTTTTTTTTACATTTATTTTTTCGTCTTGTGAATGTCGTCTTTTTGTAGATCTTAAGGAATGGAATCCCCCTTCATCAACTTTAACTCCTTCATTTTTCTCTGGAGTATCAATACTAACTCTAGGACTTCCAGATGCACTGGAAAATGAGCTAGATGAATGTCTCCTAATTATAACAGATGCATCTGCTGCATTTCTTATTTTTGCAGGTAAAATAAACTCTTGAGATAAATTTATTTGTTTTACTGGCGTGGCTTGATCTCCAATTTTTTTATCTACTTGCATATCATTCAAATATATAGAAGTCCTTTTAGATCTTGGTTTTGATACACCTGCTGAAGTACGTAATCTTAAAACTGCATTACGTACTAACTTCTTTCTAAGTTTAAGCTCACGTTGTACTTTTTGTATATCCATAACTTTTGCTTGAGATTTGGTAATGGGAACTAATCTTTTTTTATCTGGTTGTTCTACATCGTACAATAAATTTACAACACCTTCATCTTGAAGTAATCTATCTATTTCGTTTATGATTTTCTTTTTTGGTTTAGAATCTCCAGCATTATTTTCTGTAGATCGTTTTGCCTTTGAAACTATCTTTGATCCTGATTTCTTTGATGTGTTTAATTTAGTTTTTAAGGTAGCAGTTTTCTTATTTGAAGATATGTTTTGCCTTAATATCTTTTTTACTGCTATATTTTGTTTAGCAATAGATTGTGATCTCTTTTTATTAAGATTTTGTTTTGAAGGTTTTATATTACATACATTTTGTGTATCATCAAGTTTGTCTAATGTTATATCTACTTTATTATTATTTGTGACATGTTCTTCTGTTATTTCATCTGTTATTATGACATTAACCTCATCATTGGGAAGCACCATGGTCTCCTTAGATACATGATTTTCAGTTAGCAAGCTAATGTCAGGTGGAGCTTGGTCTTGAGGTTGCTTCTTGCCCAATGAAAGTTTTCCTTTATATACTTTTTGACGTTTTACAATGTTCTGTTGTTGTTCATGCTCCCTAGCTTTTTCTGTTAGTTTTCGTTTTCTACCTGATCTTGACTCATCTACTCGTATATCTGTTTTTCTTTCTGAAGTATGGGATTCGATAAGCAAAGAAGATGAAGTATAATCAGAAGAATTCGTATCCTCTACAGATTCTGTAGTTTTATTTTTTGGTTCCATTCCAATTGTTTCTTTCTCTGTTTTAGATATGATTTTTGTTTTTATTGCTTTAGAAGATTTAGTAGGTGTAGCTTTAATTATTTTCTTCTTCTTCTGTATACTTCTTTTAGATGATGCAACAGGTAATTCCAGAAGTTGTTTCAATGCTAGTTCTCTTTCAACTAAGGGATCAAGTTTTGGTGGTGTGTTATAACCACTTTGTTCAATCTTTACTGAACGTTTTCCTTCCTCTGCTAAAATTGGTGGTTTTAAGTTAGACCAATCAGGATCAACATCACCTTCCAGTATTGCTAACAGCTCTTTATTATCAGAATTGCTTTCTTTGCTAGTTCCTGTACTAGTATTATCTGATGACTTTTTATCACATTGAATAAGGGATTGATTAGTAGGCTGAGGTAATGGTATAAGTGCTGGTAAAGCGGTTCCTGGACTACCTACTAATTTACTTGATAATCTCTGGGTTAGTTTTTTAACAAAAAATATATCAGGTCGTGGTGGTTGTTCTACTACTTTTTGTTTCTCACGGAATCGTTCTTTTAATGCTTCTGCTATTTCAACCTGTGAAGATTGACTGGTTAAATTTCGACCACGATTAATAGGTATAATTTGCGAAGTTTGACTAAATGTCACAGTATCATGTGTTGAATCTTTTGTAGACTTTCCAACAGCCTGTGATATAGAATGAGTTAGTTGGTCTTTGAGTAATGATTTTATACTATTTTGTTGTTTCTTTATAGTTTGATTGTTATCAAGTTGTTCCTTTGATATTTGCATTTCTTTGTTTTGTTTAGCAACTTCTACAGCCTTTCCAGCATCTACAACTGGTTCTTTTTCAATGCATGTAATTTCTTCTTCAACCAGCACAACTGTGCCTTCTTCTATAGTTCGTGTTTTTGTGTCATTTAGTAAACTTTTCAATTCAATTTCTACTGTATCTGGAGTTTTAGATACCGACTGACTATCATCTTCTGCATTTTCAACACCCCAATCATCAAAGATATCCTGAATTACACTTCTTTTGTTAGTTATGCTCACTTTATCTGCTTCACTTATAGATTTATTCCTTCCTTCTGTATTAGCAACATGTGTAGGTACGACAATTTTATTATGAATAATTTTCTTTTCTACATTAATTTTATGTGAACTATCAAAAGATTCAGTCTTGCCATTTCCATTTGTTGTTTCTTGTTCTACATTATATTTTGCATCAGTATTTTTACACTCTTCCTTTATGTCCTCTCCTTTAATATCAGTGCCTTCTTTAATACTTACATTCTTTTCTTTAATATCAATGTCACCTGCAGTTCCTAGATCATTAATTACCCCTGAGGTAATAGGAGTTATAGAATCGTTTCCTGTCTTTGTGTGATTTAATACTTCCTTATTGTCTTTCTGGCTACAATTTTCAGGAACTTCTTGAGCCACGATTTCTGTTGAGATTACTTCTATAATTGTTCCATCACTTTCTTGTGCATAATCTATCAAATTAAATTCTTCATTTACAATTTCAGTGTTCTTCATTTCTTTTTGTTCTGCAGAAACATTTTTTTCATTGGAATTTACAACAGCATCCTTTTCATGTACAGTTAAAACAATATTTTCTTCTGTACTTTCATTCATTTCATTAATAGTTTCTACGGTCAGTACCATTACTTCTGAACTACTATCAACTAGTTTAGACAAATCTGTGTCTGTATCCGTGACGTGCAATGTTTGGTCTTTATCATCAAAAGTCTCACTAAGTGTTTTAATTAATGCTTGACACTGAGCATTAGTATCACCAACTGTATCTATATTTAACACTGTACAAACGTTATGTTTCTCAATGTTTTGTTCACCCTCATTTGTATTAAATACTTCAACATTGTTTGTACTTTCTTTATCTAAAGATGTGTCATCTGCATATCTTGAATGATCTCCAACCTCGGTTGTATTTTCTGCTTGCTCTTCTTGAGATTTCTCATCTTCTTTACATTGATCATCAATTTGTGGGTCCTTATCTATTATTTCTTGTTCTACTTCATTAATCGCAGTGTTCTTTATGCTCTCTGTCTCACTACTTTCTTTACTTTCAAATTTTTTATTTAAATCTGTTATATCACATTTATTTACTACTAAAACATCTTGAATTATATTATCTGTACATTCTTGTGACTTATTTTCTTGATTTTCCGGAATATCCTTCACATCCTTTACAATATCAGTCGTTGATTCTGATATTAATGAAGAAGATACATCTACTTTTATCGATGATTCTACTTTATTAATGTCACTGTGCACTTCATCTAATTGTTCCATGATAAAACATCAAGATTGTTACAATTATTTAAGAAGTCATGGATTGTCCTGTTGATAGAAAACAATTAATGTCATTAATACTTAAAATATATATTACAAATAAAATAGTCAATCAGAAAGAAATAGGTGTCAAAGTTTATTTGTCATTTGCTTTTTTTAAATGTAAATTGAACAGTACGAAGTAGATCCATAATCTTATTATTTACTAAATACCAAATAAAAAAATTTTAAACTATCATAACCTTACTAAAATTTTTAAATCAGACGAAAATGAACTTTTAATTTTTTTCTCTGATTTAAACAAAATAAAATTGCAAACAGTGCACAAAAAAAGTTTAAATAAATTGCGATAGTTAATTTTATGTTAAAAAATACGGAAGTTGTTTTATATCAACTAATACATTTCGACATTCCTGAGAACAATAGTAAATAGTGCGTTGTAGATTCATTTATAAAGTGATATAATTGATTACACGTTGTCCTATAATAATATTATTCGATATGTTTTAATTAATGCCATTGTACTTAGCGTTTTACAGTATATTTGTTTAATAGTATATTTGTTAAATACATATGTATATATGATTTTAATGGCAGAGGAAGAAACTTACCAACCAGGACTGGCGTATCCATACCGTGTATGTTCCAGTGAAAATCACACATTATTTAAGTTCTGTAAGATTGGTTTTAAAGTAAAACAACTTTATAAACCAAAGATTTTATGTAAAATGCACTTTGATGAACCTCTGATGGGAAAAACGATTACTTCCTTATATCCAAACTCAATGTTTACAAGAATGAAGTCGAAGGTCCGTACTACTGTCATCAATTTAGGTACTTTTTCTCAAAGTTTTTTAATGGAATTAACAAATTAAGAGGTATGAGATTTTCATTTATAACTAGAATTGGCATAGGTTCTAAGATATATAATGAAAATATAATCTTTATGAAATTATAACCGGTAGTTAGAAGTAATTAATTAAGGGAGATTATTATTGGCCCTTACATAGTAGCGTTAAAATATGAGAAGGTATTTAGTTAGAATTAAAAATAATTCCATTCCTATTTTAGACTATTATAAATAAATATATAATTATACTAAATTATTAATGAACACTTGACAATATAAATAAAGTAAATTATAGAATATCATTATCAAGTAAAATAATTAAGAAGTTATTTACTTTATGAAGAGATATTTCTATCAATAATAAAATAAAAAATTTCTTTTATTATTATTTGAAAGAGAGCTTCTTTTTATGCTTCGAATTTTTTCAGCGATAGTAGATAAATATTTATTTTATACGAGATTCATTCATTTGCCGATAGATGACAGTGAAATAATTTTCTATGTATATTATTGTTTTGGTCATCTTTATCTGTACATTTAAAGAACGCATTAATCGTAATTTTTGTATTCTTTTTAGATCTAATTGTAATCATGTTGTTATTTTCCATAATTGAAAACGTGATTATGAATTTTAAAGTGGAGAAGTTAGCTTTACCTATTATAATAAATGTATTATACATATGTAGTGGAACAAAATGTGTATTTTTAAAATGAAATAATAATAAAGACCTTAATATTTATTTCTTTTCTAATCTTAATACTTTATTTTCGTATTAAACTATCTCATTATATGAAATGAAAGTTCATTCGTTTACGTACTTGCACATGTCATTTCAGTTAGGTTATATGTATGATACAAAAAAGTTTTATCAAATGAATACATTGGTCCATGTGATAATTGCGATAAATTCAGATAATCAGTTTTATCGGTTGCAGTCGTTTATATGAATAGTATCTTTCATGTTTTTCCATTAAAAAGTACAGTTTCTACGTGACAGGCATTACTTACATAACCCCGATAAAGACGTTCTTGTCTTAAAAATTTTAAATAGTGACTAATTAAATCGAAGAGAAATGTCTCCAAAAATTGTTGTTGTTGGTTCATGCATGATTGATTTCACTTGGTAAGTGATCATTTTGCTTGACGTAAGTATAAGCAATTTGCTTAACTTTTTAGAAAATCTATAATGTAGGAACATTACAAAATGAAGATTAATAAAGAACAATTTCTTTTTATATGAAAATTAAAATGGAGTTCCTGCAATATTTGAATAACTAAGACTTATATGTATAATATACTGCAGCTGAATTATATATTTCCAAAAATAAAATCCTTATATTTAATGTTAGACATGTCGAATACATTAAAAAAATACAAATCTATATTTAATCGAATGAATTTAAATTAAATATACTTCCTGTCATATTTATTACATAATTTATTGTATAATTGAATGAATATGTATCATTTTCTAGCTTTTCTCCCCGTTTACCAAAACCTGGTGAAACATTAATTGGTACTAAATATGAGATAAAGTATGGTGGTAAAGGTGCTAATCAATGTATAGCAGCTGCTAAGCTTGGTGCCGCAACAGCAATTGTTGCTTCTGTATGAATTTTAGTTCTATTCGCGATTTTTAATAAATTATACTATAAGCAATAAATTTAAAACAATTTTGTGGTAATTAATTTTTATACAGTTAGGTTCTGATACTTATGCCCAAGAGTACTTAAAAATATTTAAAGAAGAAAATATAGATGTTTCTCACGTTCAAATACAACCAAACCAACACAGTGGAATAGCACATATTACAGTTACCGAGAATGGTGAGTAATAGGCATTAATACTGACAGAGTTTGATAGAATTTAGTTTTACAAATGTTTAAAGTGCACGAAATTTCTCGAGAAAAATTTGACAATTTTAGGCGAAAACAGTATAGTAATCGTATTAGGATCGAACGCGTTGATGAGTTCCAACTTTGTGGACTCCGCGACCAACATGATCAAGAATGCTTCTATTTTATTATGCCAATTTGAGGTACCTCAGGAAATTACTCTACACGCTTTAAAGATTCACAAAGGCCATGGTCAGTTGCCCTTCGTAATGTTTTATTCTTCCATGAAACACACACATTAGTTATGGAAAATGGAATGTGATAGGTTTGTCCATTGTGAATGGGGCACCCGCTGCGGAAAATGTCCATCCAGATTTATGGAAACTCTGTGACATATTTTGCGTCAACGAGATAGAGGTATCTTCGAACTATCAAATTATAAAAATTAATTTTTTTTAGGAATTTATTTTTAATTTAATTGTAACATGTATTTATCTGTAGGCGGAATTTATGAGTGGAGTGCAGCTTCAGGGACCATCAAGTATACAGCAGGCTGTTGAAAAATTCTTGGATAAGGGTTGCAACATAGTGATTATTACTCTTGGAGAACAGGGAGCGGTGTATGCGTCTCAAAGCGATAGAGTAATTAAAAAAGTTTGTACTAGTCACGTTCAGCCTGTAGATACAACGGTACGTTCAATGATCTTGTTTGTTTAGTGTGCAGATATAGAATATTTGTCTGTTTCGCTTGTTCTAAGCTTTAAGAATATTTTTATCTTCCATTTTTAAATTTCCTATTTTGTTACCTCCTTATACATCATCTATAGAGAAAAATTTGTTTATGCTCGACAATTAATTTATAAGCCAAAGGGACGACAGTCCGTGAAATCGTATCGCTGATATTCACGATATATGTACAGGGAGCTGGAGATGCATTTCTAGGCGCTCTTGCATATTTTAAAGCTTATCACCCAGCGCTTTCGATGGACGAATGCATCCGAAGAGCTTGCGTCGTTGCCACGGATTCCGTGTTGAAATTCGGTACACACGCGAGTTTTCCGAACAGGAGCAGCCTGTCGCCGGATCTGTTCGCTTGAATTAATAAAAATGTTGTACATTCTATACAAACGACACATCCTCCCGACATCTGTTCCTTCTTTTATTGTTATTTTATGTCGTTGTTCTTCTTGCTTCTTATCTAACTTTGTCATGTTTTGATAATAATAAAGTATTGTTAAAAAAGTAAAATAAAAATGAGCGATGATTGTTTATGTATACTCCAGCTTCATTTTGTCCCGTGTTTTTTGTTGCATCCAATAATAAAAACGAGGCGACACTTACGCGAGAGGAAATTGTATAACGTTGACTGAATAAAGTTTTGCTGTTCTATTTTATATTACTACTATATCTTAATTAGTGTAAAGTAATCGAAGAATGAAGTTTCGAAATATTAAAAGTGTTTAAAACGAGCCACGAAGACAAATCATAAAATTCTATGAATTCCCTCTATATTCTATTTTCCTTATCGCATAAAATAAACCTGACAGTGGGTCTTAATTTATATTTTCTCGGTATCCAGTGATTCCAATATATTCGTTGATACACCCATACAAAAATCTCCGATACATTTATCAGATTACGGAAGATAGTGACGCCTATTTTCACAAAATGCTAATCTCTCTCATGCATAGTATTCTGATCAATTCTAAAGTCTGTACCGCAGCACGCCTCTGATTGTTGCTGTTCTTCGAGACTGTACATGGATTTTTATTAAAACTTGTATAACTCTATACAAGTAACGAGCAAAAATCTATGAAAAGATCAGACTCTGATTGCATTGAATTTTAAATATAAATATAATATAAATATTTAAATATAATAAAAAACACTAAATTTTCATATTAAACCTTATTTTAATGTATAAAATAAAATTGATTTTCCTGCGAAAGATTCGTAAAGCATCAAGATCTTCGATCTCGCGTGAAATCCCCGAGACAATGTTTTCAATATTCCTCCGGGTAAAACAATAGGAAAATGTAAGAGACGTTGCGGGAATGGTAGATTGCGAGAACTCATGGAAAATCGTTGTGATCAAAATCGTTCATTCTTTATGTAAGAAACAATATTACGTGAAAGTGCCCAGTTCTGGAATTTGACTGGTTTACGCGAATGACGCGCGAACTAATACAAATCCCATCCATCTAGACCCGGCGCTATTAAACGACTAGTCAGCCGTGTCCTCAAACTGGTGGAACTTCTGATCACAAACGTCACCGCCTGCGTAAGAAGTCTGCCACAGTAAAATATGTCGTCCTAAAATGCCAACAGGCAAAGGAGGTGTGTTAATTATGTGTGGTAACGCGAGGAATCACGATCCATCATCTCTCCCTTTTCTCATTTTCCACGAACCGGTGCCACTGGCCGGTACCAGCCTATTGGCCACTTTCCTTCCTTCATAGATGATCGGTGACGTCTGCGCCGGAAAACACCGCTATCTTACATATTTAAGGGGACGCGTGTTGTTGCAAGAGGAAATGAAACAGGGACCCCATTGACGTCACGACGGCCAATAACGAAGAAAGCATCCACGATGGGAAACTAAATATCACCCGGTACGAAACAGGGGATTGGTCACTCCCGAGGTGGAGATGCGGTGGCTACCACCCACGGTTTCTTTACCTTAAAACTCCGGCAGTGGACAGGGAGAGTTCACTCAGTTTTCAGCAAACCGCCAGGAACGATCCAAGCCTCTTGAAACAGTTCTTACACCTCGACGACTAAATCGAACATTTCTCGGATAAGATTCGGTGAAAACGAGAGTTGAACAGGAACTTGGTCGGAAGTTTCTCGAGTATCGATCGGTGTTGGCAGTTCGTCAACTTTTAGCCTAAAGAAGCAACGATCAATTTGGATTAAATTTTAAACCATGTCTCTATACACCATCGTGGGGATTATTGTTTGCATTCTGCTTGTCAACTTCACAGAGAAAGAATTTACAGAGGCCAGGATACGATCGGAGAGGTTCCACGTTCGCCATCAGGGTATTTATCGACAACTCCGAAGGATACGTCATCTAATCGAGTCTAGTAATCAATGGAGGTCAAAGAATTTGTCGAAAATCAACGACGACGGGGCCGTATGGATGAATTCGATAGCTGCGCAACGAAAACGACGCAATTTGGAAATAATAAACGATGGTTTCGTGGTGGAAGTGAGCAGGTTGCAAAATGCATCGATCTGCAATTACACGATTGAACCAGTCGGGGAGATATTTGGCAGCCGGGTGCTGAGCAATCTACATCACATCAAGTGCAATCCAACCGATCTTGGTAACAGGTGTCAGAGTAATACGCCTCATTGTTGTATACAGACCTATGAAATAATAGACCTGCCCATCCCCAATAATGCGAATGAACCAGTGACGATTTATACCGGATGCGTATGTGCGCACCTTCATACGATTAAAGCGAAGAATTTTAAAATGAAAGGACTGGATTACTAATGATCATAAATCTTAATGAAGAAATGATATCGACAACGTTGAATTAGATAGAAGTATCAGTTAGCGGTTTGTATAGGTGATAATCTCACTATCCTAACATTCATTAGTGATAAGGTTAATATTCAGTGGTTTGAAATTTGCGTTTAGGATACCGTGTAGAATAGTTACTGTATACTCGTAGTTACTAACTCTGTGTTAATTCAACACACGTTAAGTGCCTTGTTAGATATTAAGAACGCAATATTGTTGTTTCGTTTTCTCGGTCCAGACCATTCCGGTAATTATTCGATCTATATTAAGTATGTAAATGGCTAGTTTTTCTTATCAAGTAATGTAGCTTGATAACTATCTGAGATAATATAATGATCAAAGTCATGAAGCCAATTACAATTGTAGATCCGTAAATAAACTTGGAATGTTTAGTGACGTCCGGATACGGAGAATCTTGATTTGCTCAATACTCGTTGTTCCAGGGACAAGCGTGTCCTTGTAATATTATGTAATAAGATATTATCTTTGATTATTTATAGAATGCAATCGGTTCTGTTGCCAAACAATGTGATAGACGCGTCATGCGGTTATTTTTTATACGACTATTATTTATACTATTTATTCTTCTTTTATTTATCCTTTGTACGTTATGAGATATTGTAATTGTAAGCATTATAATTGTCATAATTTTTTATCGAACAAAACAACCTTCAATCTTTCTACGATGTATCGATAATACACACGAACTATTAACATATTTATACTACGATCCTTTAGAAGTATTTTATATACCTAGTGATATATCATAACATTTAATAAAATATCTTATGTCTAACAAATATTTCGTGTTATCTTTTTCTTATTCCTTTAAGCCTTCTCCTATCCATTTTCACGACATTTCTTACTGAGCTTTTCAGTGATAATAGTAACGCCGAAGAGAATGCAGATTGTCGGTGTCTCAAAGAACATAAATCCATTTGATACTTCTCGATTACAGTGGTTATAAAACATGATCGCTATGATTGGTTTCTATGAATTTTTCCCACGTTGTATCTTTTCGTGAAAGATCATTGGAGCTGTTCGGGGATTTACTTTATCCACGGCATTTTAAATTGGAAATGCGACGTTCTTTGTATTGTTCTTTGGATCTCGATGAAGACGCTTCATAGAACTTTCAGCATCTATCGAACATCATCCAAGAGCCTTCACGGCAGTTCCATCTCCTTCTTCTTTAATAAAGTTCTTTAATAAGGTCATCAGGTGTGAAGTAGGTACCGGATATTCGCGATCATAGAATGTTACGCATGACTCAGAAAATACCGAGGGACTGAACTCTTGAAATCTTGATCATCAGGACGTCCCACTACGGAAGAGTGAGCCACGCGCCTTCCGACATTAAATTAGTCCATCAGAAAAACCAAAGCACTGGGAGAAACCCTTCTCGACTGACCGACGCAACGGCACGGTTACGAAGAAACAGTTACACGTTGCGTTTCCTCCCTTCCCTGTATACCAGAAATGATACTATCAATGTTTAAAAAATTAAAATAAATTAAATTTAAAAAATTAGCGCGTAATGAAGCGTACAAGTGACTCTTTAATTTATTTTAATGGGTCAATAAGAACGTTCTGTAAAATGAACGCCGCGATTATGTATTTGCTTGTTGCAATGACTGAAGGAGAACAAAGTTTTGTTATAAACAGATTCTGTACTTGTTGATCCTGAGCAGATTTTGCCCGTAACAGCAATAAATCTGGTATCAAAATCAAAATCAAAACACTCGAGTTGACTTTTCAATGTCTCATGTAAATATCTATGAAAAGACTAAAATTGTTTAAGCACTTTTTAATCAGTTACTTGACATTGTCCCTAATATTACAAACTTTACCAACACATCGTTCCTTTAATTGATTTTTCACATTGTTGTTTATCGGTGAACTCAGTGGCATGCAAGGAATGCCAGTCACCGGTGACCCCCGTGATAATCAACCCGATTAAACAGTTCTTAACATTATAAGTATTATAAACTTTACGGACACGCCATTCCTTTAAATTGCTCTTTATACCATTGTTCATCGGTGATCCCAATGTCGTGCAAGGAACGCTAGTCACCGGTGACCCCCCGTGATAATCAACCTGATTAAATAGTTCTTGATATTATCGCTAATATTACAGGTATTATAAACTTGACGTACATACCGTTTCTTTGATTGATCTTTACATTGTTGATCATCGGTAGAGTAAGAAAGGCTAGTCACCGGTGACTCCCTTGATAATCGATCCGATTAAACAGTTCTTGAAACAAATACTGTCGCGATATCAACGAAAAATGAAAAAAGTAATAATACGGAGAAAAAAAATGGAAAGATCGATTCAATCTCGAGCTGGTGACACACGAGGAAATTCGTGCTTATGCTAATCGGCCTACGTTAACCGGCATTTCTCGACCAGATACTCGTGTGTTTCGTACGTAATAAATTGCGACACAAGCCGGTTGTCGGCGACGCTGTGACACGCTCCAGCGGCTCGCGTGCTGCATCAGGAAATCCCGCGGTAACACGCGTCTATACGTGAAATCGCGGCTGAATCAGCGTGCAACGACACCGGTCGCGCGCCTCGCCGCCTCATACCGCGCGAGCGTGACGTACGCACGACATACATACCGGTTGGAATCTCATTCACTGATCGAACGAAGACGCGAGACGCGAGTCTTTTCCCTCTCTTCGGTTAGGAAACCGCTGTCCAGGCCGATTCCCTTGCAGCTTTTTCCATAACCGCACGGCATCGTGTCGAGGACACATCCTTCACGGAAAACATGTCGAATTCGCGATCTTACCTCGCGGAAATCACCGGAGGATGTCACATGACTTGGTGCAATGTCGTGACATCGCGTTAAGATCTCTGTGTTCCCCTGACGTGGATATTTATTGATAGAACATTGCTGTTTTATGCGTTTTATCCTTTTCTTTCGCCGAACCAACGGTGTATCATGGAGGTTGCTAGTTATGACGAATATGATTTCATGGAGATGATTGTACTCACCATCCTGAATTTTTACGCGTTCTCTTTATTGTCTCTGTAGGGGGTTCCGTGGTTTTGATATCGCACAAGATCTAGTTTCATATATAGGCCGCGTAGAAGCTACGTTGAACAACTTCATCAACTTGGAAAATACAGAGAAGCGATGATGCTAGACTACAGTTAACATTGTTTTTTTAAATCTACCTTAGAATTTACCGTTATCTATGTTATCTTGTTGCGTTGAACGAAATTGTGGAAGCATGTTATGTAATAAAAATTAATAAAAAATGGAGTTGATTAGTATGGTTTCTGAGTAGACCTTCCGATTAATTGTCAGGATTCTTCTTTCCTCGTCTTAATAAATGCAACGCGAAAAGATCGTAAATCAAGCACGATATTGTAGGTACATCATGCGCAACTCGTGGGAGAATGATGGAAATTTTCGAGGTATTTAAAAGCATGTGGATATTTTTAAAGAGGAAGAAAACATCGCAAGAATTTGTCCTTTTGCAACAACAGAATATTACGATGTTTTTTCCACGTTTAAAGTGATCAAGGAAATATATGATCGACGAAATGCGCATAAAAATTAGAAGTTTTCAAAGACAGCTTGTTCATTCTTCTTCGTAACGTCTTCCTATCATTTATTGTACCTTTATTAGCAGCTTTGCAGTGTTAAGCGACATGTGAATCGTTTCAAGAACAACCAAATTAGAAACTTAATATGCGAACGTAGATCCAGTCTGTGATACTACATTCTGATTCACTCGCCATGTACCAATAGTATTTAACTCAACTTGAGTCACAGCCAACTGTTCATTTCTCCTTAAACCTGATATAACCGTTACTTCTGGAACGTTATACTTCACGTAGTATTCGAGGTTGTTCGATGGTTTAATTACAGAACTATTTTTAAATGTTATTAATTGATCTATTAGTTGATAATAATTGAAGAAATAAACGAACGAATAATTCTGTTGGCCCGTGTAAAATTCAGAGGCATCTTGCGAGAAAATTTCCATCGATTTTACTCTACATTGTCGTTGCCCGGTGAAAAATATTTTCAATTAACGGCTCACAGAGGCGAAGGTATCGATAGGGGGAGAGAGAAACAGTTTTTCTGGTATCGGATTTCGAAAGAATAACGGCCGTTAAAGGGTTCATAACGAGCAGAAACGCGAACGGCGTATTCCGCGCTTTTGCGAGGCGGTACACTGAAATTTTATATTTTTCCCCGGCGCAAATAAGAACGCGAAACTTTCATATATTTTTTTTTTCCCTTCTTTCCCCGTGTTCCTTTCTTTTTTTTCTTTTTTGTTATTATTTTGTTTTCCTCCCCGGAGAACTCCGCCACCAGTACAAGCTTCAATTAAAACTCCTGAAATACCGTTTATTATAATTTTTGTTCAACAAAGGAAACGCATCGACCGGGAGTACGGCCGGTTTACAAACGCAAAAATGATATTTTTCTTTAATTTTCTGGCTTCCCTTTCAATGGACCGTTGGCGTGTTTCGACGTTAACAGAAACGTTTCGATGTTTTCTCTTAATAGGAAAGCGGGAGAACAAAAAAAAAAAAAAGAATAAAAAAAGAGAGAGGATAAAAAATAGAGCAGAATGAAAAAAAAACGTGATGAAGATCTATATTTTTTGCACTCCTTCCTGATTGAATTGCTTGATTTTTTAATTTCAATTCGGACAACGTCGGCGAGAACAATCCGTGACGTTTGAACTTTCAACATCCTTGAAGAGAAGCGAGATCGTCTCGAGATCCGTCTTCGGATCCTCTGATTTTTCTTACTAATTCGCCATTCTCGTGTCGTTTGCTCGATACACGATGAAAGCAAGAAGCATCTTTTGTTGGAAAAGGGCGATCTTGAAACGACGAACTTCCTCCCGCCTCGTTTCTCCAAAGTGGAGCACTTTCTGTCGTCGGATAAATGCGATTTCAAGCGAACTCCTTCTCCTCCTTCTTTTCTCCTACATTCTCCTCCTCCTCTCTCTCTTTTTTTTCTAACTCTCTATCTTTTACTTTTATTTCATCCGGATGCCACCGAATCGAATTTTTGTAGACGGAGTTTTGACGGCGAAGACACAACGCGGTCGAAATGGCGGCGAGACGAGTTAAAAGAGAGAGAGAGAGAGAGAGGAGCACTTCAAAACCTTCAACAGGTAGAACGGGTTCAAAATAATCCTCGATGCTCTTTGAGACCGCCTTGTACAATCGGTTGTCTTAGTGGCTGTCTGCCGACAACTTCGTACCCTTTATCTTCGCTGTGTACTTGAACTTCGAACGAAGTTTAAACGCGTGCAACCGCGTTATTACATCTGCGGAAAAACGTCTTTCAGCCCTCTAGCCAATCAAAACGTTGTTCTTTCTAATCAGAGATTCATCCGTTTAATCAACGATTCCATCTATTCAACATATTTCCGCTGTTGCTTTCAAATTGAGCAGCTACCATAACAAGTTCTTAAATAAACGCTCCGTATCTCTGAAACCGTAATGTTTGCAGTAATAAGGATGCAGCTTGAATATTTGAATTGTATTTTTTGTAAAGATATAGGTTTAGTATTAAAAATTTCAAAAGTTTATTACTATGAATTTACTTTCAAGAAGTAACTTTCGATTTTCAATCGGTTTATTCGTGTAACTGGAAAGTAGCATAGTCTCGTGATCGCAGCAGCCTTTTCAATCGTTATCACTGTACCAAGATTCGTAATTTTGGTTCTCAAAATTGAGTCATTAAA